CAGCGAAGCTGCTAAGCTTGGGAGCACGGTCCCCTTCTCCCTGTCAGACAAACCAGCTTTCCTACACAAAGAAATCTGCAAACAGTGAAGATGTGATGTTTATTGAGCACCTACTACATGGCAAAGCACCATGCTTAAGCTTGCACAGATAATAATTATTTCATTTAATCTACATAATGAATCTGAAGCTCAGGGATGCTAACTTGCCCAAATTGCCCGAGTGAGAGAGGAAGAACTCATACCTTGATCTCACTGTTTCTGAGTTCATGCTCTTTACACTGTGTGATTCTGGTGCTATAATGTAGGCAGAATCTAGGAAAAGCTACCTAATATTTCACAGTTTCCAAAATGGAAGGTGGATATACAAAGATGGGTAAGGAAGAGCAGGTTTCTAAACTTCAAATTTTCTTCCAAGGCTTTAAAGTCTGAGTAGCAGCAGGGCCTAATGACAGCTGAAGAGTTCTCAGTTCCTCTTTTTAGGTCTTCATCTTATTGGCTGGGTGACTGTGGGCAAGCTCAATCCTTTGACATACTCAAGTCGTGGATTCAAAGGGAGGAGTTATAATCATCTGAGTGGCTTATTCTGAATCTCTTGGACTTTGCTCTTATACGAAAAAACAACAACAAAAATGCTAACCTTGTCTTGGAGCAAAGATATTTTGGCCTCCTAGATTTGATCATGTGCCAGCTGCTGACTTAATCATATTTCGATATCTGCTTGTCCAGCTAGTGCATTTTAGGTGGAAAATGACGATATTGGGAGCAATGTGGTATCTGCTATCCTGTGTGCTGTCCACAGTGCTGGTGCCTTCGGAATTGCTAAAGAGGCAGCATAGGACAATAGTTCTGGGGCTGACAGGCACAGAATTTGGCAGGGACTGCAGGTATGATCAGCTCAATGGCAGTGTAGATACCCCCTTGCACCGACATTTCCAAAACTCTTGGCATGCATTTCCAATCTAACTCTTTCCTCTGAAGTTTAAAATTGCATACGATTCCATTGACCAGCTGGTAGTTGTATTATTGGCCTAGTACGTCAGCCACGAAGCTCAAATAACTACGCGATTATATTCTTTTAATCTCTGGATAACTAAACTTGGAGTCTGCTTTACACTCTCCAGGCTAAACACAACAAAAAAGTTTTACTTTTAAATAGACAATTTGACAGATCTTTCTTTTAATCAATAAAGAAGACTGCATTTCTAGACTAGATAAACTCTTAGGGAAGGAAGTCCAATGTGGTAAAAGGTAAATGTCCTTCCTCTCCCTCACAATGGTCATACTATACTTAACTATGAAATAGAATCATCCAGAAAATATCACTGAATACTGACAGGAGGATGTACCTTTTCAAAGGATTGGAGACTTAGGTTGGTTTTAATACAGTGGTCAGTACAGAAGTCTTCTTTATAAGAATGACCAGGTTGAACAATACTCAGTTATAAGGTTTTATTTTCAAGACCTTGCTAAGAAGTGAGAGGGATGAAGGGAGAACAGACATGAAAGGTTAATTTTAAGCCAGAGCTCTTGAGTGGAGAGGAAACTAAAACCAAATACAAAGGGTATATGCGGTAGTCATGTGTTCATTACCAAATTTAGTTCGAGCCATGGAGTTTTCATCCCTTAGATTCTGTGTTTTTGTTTTTGTTTTGTTTTTTTTTACCATGATTTAGCAAAGTTGGTTCCATCCCCATATGTTTCTGATTTTGTCTTAGCAACTTACAGATTACTCTTTCCTTTTTCTTTTTCCTTTACAATTATTTTTGTTATTATATGGAAGCAACCCAGATGTCTATTCATAGATAAATGGATAAAGATGTGAGATACATACATATATATATATATATATTATATAGGAATATATATACACACACATATATAGGAATATATTTATATATTGATGGGTATATGTGATGTATATAATGTATATATTTTGTGTGTGTATATATATACACAAATTATATATAATGCATTCCATAATATATGTATATTCCATATATACATATAATATATATAATACACATATGTATATTCCATATATACATATAATATTTCACTATATAGCTCATGGAATACATTTTATTCATGGATGGAATATATATATGATGGAATATTACTCAGCCATAAAAAAAGCATGAAAACTTTCAATTCACAACAACATGCATGCTAAGTGAAATAAGTCAGTCAGGTTACTCTTTTCAGGCTCTCTGCATTTAAAAATGCCTATGATAACCTAGATTCCTCACATGCTTGCCTACATATGTAAATATCCTGATTATTTATATTATTAATTCTTAAATAATAATGAATTATTATTTATCCTGATTTATTCTTCAAACATCCAGCATCTGTCATGTTCCAGGCATTGTGCAAGGCATGGATATACACGGAAAGGACAGTGTCTCTGCCCTCAGAGAGTACATGGTCTACTAAGGGAAGGATGTCAGTTCAGCAGAAGCTGTGAGCTGGATGGAAAATACAACATAAAATGTTGTGCAGCATACCATGAAACAGCAAAGGAAAAGCACTTTTCATATAGAAAAGGCAGATATTTGTCAGAGAAGGATTCCTAGACAAAGACACTCCATCCACGGAAGGGGGTAAAGGGAGTTTGTCAGAAAGATAAATGGAGAAAATAGTTTCTGTTAAACGAAATGGTGTGCACAAGGGCAGGGCTATATGACAAGCACGGTGCTGCACGGTGGTGTAAGATCAGAGGGTGACCGAATGTTGCATCCAAAATTATTTTAGGATCTAGCACATTAAATAACATTGACTAGAACTGTAGAAGTGACTTCCTGTCAACTCCCTCTCAATCCTAGTTAAGTCAAGGAATAAATCTTTCTGTGTTCCTGAATATATTTCCAACTTCTCCAACACTTGCTGATCTCCCCTTTTGTCAGAGAACAGGTTTCAGCCCAGCTACTTTAGCAGGCAACAACACCCTGTTAGAATTTAGTTACATTGTTTCATTTTTGTTATATTTACTTTGACAGTTTTATTTTGATTATGGCAGCTGGTTGAAGTTTTCCACTCATAGCATCGATACAAAGTTTCATTTGAAATGACTTTATTTTAGTTAAAAATGCAATCAATTGAAAAAAACAATATGCAAAAAATAATACAGGTGGTACATGAATATGGTAATAGTCATGAGGTTGGTACGCCAATGAGTAGAGTTTGACAAACACTGGTGTGGAATACTTGGAAAATAGAAAATCGTAAGATGGAGTGAAGGGTGAAGTGGGAGGCACTACAGGAGTTTGGTAGAAGCCAGCCTGTGGAGAGCATCCTATGTCAAGCTGAGGAGTCAAGCTTCATGAGGAGCCATTGAAGGGTTATAATCAGGAGGATGCACAGCAAGGTTTGTGAGTTAGAGAGAAACTTCCAGCAAAATGCGAAGGATGCCCCAGAGGAGCTAAAAGAAGCAGGTCAGTTAGGAGGCTAATGGGGCCCCCAGCGAGAGAGGAAGAGGGCGCCAGTGTTACAAGTGTGTATAGGGGGGGCTTGACATGTCAGTGGTACAATCACCATTGTCTCCAGTTAGATGTGGAGGAAGAAATCTAGAATATTGCTCAGGTTCTGGCTTGCTCAGTGGGTGACATGTGGCTCTCCTAATCAGATGAGGGGATATTTTCCCTTAGTAGTTCTTTTGCTGGATAACTGGTACGAGTTTGACCCTGAGTGGTAACCTAAATCCCATTAACTCTGCATCAACAGCTTAATAAGAAGGGTCCGCAGTTCTTTTCCTCACACGCATGGCTAGAGATCTAACTCCCCAGACAAACAGGCAGAACTCAGAATGTGTGCATAATTAGCATCTTTTCATGTTGTGAAAGAGTGTTTGGTCAAGCAAATACCAAAAAAGATATCATGCTCTCTGACTCTGCCCTAAAATTTTCTAAAGGGCTTACAACACATCAAGAAAAACTTCTCAGTTTTTAAAAAGTACTTTAAATCTTAAACCCCATAATTTCTGACTAATCTTTGTTCCAAATGTGAAATTATATTGTCCTTTGATTTCGAAATCAGAGGTATCAGCCCAGGGACGAGAAAGGCTCTAAACTAAGAAGTTACTGAGGGAGGTCTCTATTTTGCAAAAATAAGGTTACTCTGAAGGAAGGCTGCGATGGATATTTGCAGAGAGATTCTTGCGGGAGAGCAGAATCATCTCGTAATTGGAAGGAAGTTGGGTACTGGGAATTGGCTCTGACACACAGCATTTTCTGTCTTTCCTTTTCATAGTGGAGAGGGTCTAAGATATAAGGGAAAATGCTTTTATTACCTTATCACCTGCTAAAGGGCGTACTGATGAAGACCCTTCATCTGAAGAAGATGGAAAGTATACTTCAGGCTGACTGTGAGAAACCAAAAGGGCTCCAGAAAACTTGCCCAGCCTGAGGCCCCCAACCCTCTTCAAGAGAAAGGTCAAGATCAGGCAAGAAGGAAATCACCAAATGAAAGCCAAAGAATGGGAGACAAGTGTTCACTTAACAATGATGATAACTAATAATTAACATGATACAAAGTTTACATTTAGTTTATCTCTTAAAAAAAAAACAAGGAAGTGTCCTTATTTATCATTTTTATAGGGAGCTAGAGTTAGGATTATTTTCAATAAAATACATTCTTATTTAAATGAAGGATAATGTACGGGCAATTATATTAGACTCTCTTGCCATTAATAATAGAACTATATTAACTACATGACAAGCCTGATGATGAATATCATGAGACCAAGTCCCCACCATTCTTAATGTAGGATGACATTTTAAGGTATTGAATCCAAAAAGCTTCAAGCTATAAATTATTCATAAAAAAGAATCTTGTTTTATGCATAAAGAGTGAGTAGAACCTGAAAAATTACTTATTGGATAGACCATGGGAGGGGGTGAGAAACATCCATAAGCAAAGGGGTTTCTTCCATTTAGGAGTTAATCTGAGACCTGACTCCTCTAACTTTATCACTATGCAGACTTTGCCTAGATTATATTGTTCTGAAAAAAAAAAAAAAAAAAAAAGAGGAACATGCCAGGACATCTTGGGTGCAAACGAAGGAAAATGGGTGTGCAAAGATATCCTATCAATTTAGGATCGTGTTTTGCTTGTCTTACTACATGTTTGCAATGAAGTTTGAAAATGGTATTCTGAAAACTCTACAAAGAGGTATGTTTCAGTAAATTTCTGTGAAATTATAATGAAACACTCACGCAATAAGCCTTTAAAAATTACGGACTTTATGTGAAACAGTGTGGCTACACAAGAAGCAAACATAAAATAAAGAACTTATTTAAGTTACAACTTTAAATGCTGTTCAGTGAATTTGCCTATTGGCATGAGATAGGAGAAATGCTCAAATATGTTTATTTGATGAGCTTGTGTGATATAGAGTGTGTCATTTGGAACTGAGAAACACAAGCTCCAATACTTAAGAACATAAAGTGGGGGGTAAGGAGCAAAGAGAAGGTAGCCTTTGGATATTCACTATATGCTAGACATGTATGGCTTCTTTACATGTGTTCAAGTGTAATCCTCATTACACACCTCAGCCTTGTAAAGTCGCTTGGATTCCCATAATAGTGAGCAAGAAATAAGCTTGGAGGGGGAAATTGTTCAAACGGGCCAAGCTGCTAAGTGGTGGGAACAGTGCTGCCTATAAGCCCCTCCTCATTTCACTGCTGGATGCTACCTACACATTGAAATTGTGAATTCATTCCCATAGTTACACTTCATTTCCTTAAAAAGCTATGTTTAGGAAAAAAGTGCATAGTCACTAAGTCAAGCAAATTGGGTTCTAGAGTAACTCTAAACCAAAGCCAGAGGAGCTCATATTCTTTCAAATAGAAACTTGGTTTTGGATGGAACTTGTCTTGAGGCAATGAAAGGCTGAAAATGGCAGCCTTCGTTGAGTCTGGAGTGGGGAAGGAAGGCATGCAATGGGTAGAAAAAGGAGTTGTAGTCAGAAAGCCTGGGTACAAGTGTTACCTCTGCCACTTACCACATGTGTAGCTCCAGGAAACATTTTTAACTTTCCTGAACCTAAAATTTCCTCACTATTTATCATAGCAACATCCCATGGGTTTAAGAGGATTATAAATGAAAAGGATGTTTTAAGCCATAAAATATTATAAAATATTACTTACGCATAATAGATTATTTCTCTGCATATAAGCAAACCTGTACATAAGCTATGAAAGATTTTTGTATCTATGAAGGTAATTCTCTAGCCCTTTTGGCATGTTGTGGGGTGGGAAGAGACTCGCTTCTTCCATCAAATTCTGTCCCAATAAATACATTTGACGGGGGGAAGGATTCTCTGTCTCCTTTTATGAATTACTGGTCTCCCTCTTCTGGTTTGCTTTTAAAAATATCAGGTAGGTCATGATGGGTTTCCTCCAGGTGACCAAATCCATTTGCTATCCCCCTGCCAAGTGATGTTTTGAAGCTCACTAAAGCTCAGACAACAGCTCACCTGAGAGGTCCAACAAGGACAGTCTCAGTTTGTCAACGGGAGCCCCCAGGGACATGCAGGATTGGGTCTGACTTCTCTGTCCCACTACAGCCTCAAAGGGAGGAATATGGCAGTTTACTGTAGCAGCAGGATTGTCCTGTCTTACATAAACTGAAAGCATTTCTCTTGCCTACCAGGTCGATCTTTTGGAGTAATGGTTTCCATAAATTTATTTTATTCTGTTTCAGGAAGGGCAAGCCCAAGATAGACTACAAAGTGATTCACATGAGGTCATCAAAATTTTCCACTCCCTCCAGCATCCTAAATCTCTAGATTTCCAAACTGCCTCACTGAATCCCCAATCCCTGACATCAGGTCCTTTGGTCATTCATCATCAGGGCTGAGAGCAGGGAAATCTAATGATGTCTTCCCCAGACATTAGGCTCCAGAGATGTTGTTGGCCTGGGTTTGACATTCCAGTCTACAGCATTGAAGTGAATGGAGAATTGTGATAATCTAGATATTCAGATAATCTTCATTCTCTCTGTACTATGGTCCACCACATAGGCTTCTGCCTCAAATACCAATATATGTTAGGTAGCTGACTCTAGCCTGCGTTACTGAGATAGCTGCTTGTAGTTTTCAGTTTGAGGGATGGGCAAAGCCTCAGCTTCCACTTGAAGACATAGGGAAGTGTCTCAGTCTTCAATTTTTCCATATTCTGTGCACTCCTTCATTTGCTGAATGGCTGGTTGGCTGGATTGGACAAGTGAAATGATGTGGTGGCTTCAGGATAGTGTGTATTAGGAAGTGTGTGTGTGTGCGTGTGTGTGTGTGTTTGTACGCGCATGTGCATCCATGGGCGTGCGCATGTGTAAACCAAAGTCGACACTAATATGAGGATTCTGAATTGTTTTGAAAAGTTCATAATATAAATAATAACGAGTACAGTCAAAGGCCACTATCTGAATCTCTTAGACATCTAACACTGTTCTGGAAATGATACCAGTGGAGCTGTTACTAGGTACTAGGAATCATATACATATATGGAGATGGACTTCGATGGCAAGCATCGGGTGCCCTCAAACTCCAACGGAGGCCCCTGTGTACCCCCACAGGATTCTTGAGCTCTATTTCATATCCTTCAGAAGCCCCAATCTTATCTAGAATAATGAGTAAATTGCTTGAAATATATAAAAAGTATCACCCATGCAAATATCTATTTGTTAAAATATGGCTTTTGTTTAGGCTAATTTCAATAAGAAAAGTAATATCCCCATTTCTATGACTACATCTTAGAATGTGGGAAATTTCTCATGCATAGGCCCTTCCCTGAGCAGTAAGATGGGCATTTCGTTTGATTTATTGATAGCATGAGGGGAAAGAATCCAACTTAGCCTTATCTTCTCTCAAAACTGAATCAATAAATTGTGGGCCTGAATCAATAAATCATGGGCCTGATGGAAGATAAATTTACTGAAGCTACAGGAAAGCTGAGCATGGCCAGGTTCTGATGGCTGCCTTTTGGGCCCTGTTGGCCGTCAGATTACTTGAACCCCAATAACATGTTTTCCTTTCACGACTGCTGGGGATCGTCACATTGACATTTCCATTAGTCTGAAGAAGTCTCTTACAGTCCCTACAGAACATGTCAACAACTAGGATCCAGGCAGTCATGCCCTAAAGGTCCTCTCTGATATGTTATTGCGTATTGGCGGGGGGGAGGGGCGGTGTGCAAGAAGGGGAAGAAGACATTGTATTGCTTGCTTGTGGCCCCTTCAACAAGGAAGACAGTGGTGAGCAGAAGCAACAGGCAGAAAGTGATGAAAGAACAGGCAGTGTGGCAAAAGCAACAGAGGAGATGATCATGGGGTCCATCAGGCACATTCCTAAATTAATACAACTGTCACAGTCAGCTGAAAGGTGCTGGTCTAACAGACTGAAACATTAGTCTGCTGAGCAACACTCCCACGCCTCCACAGAGTAGCATTTTTATTGCAGTATGTCTTTCATGGAAAATGAACAAAATTTTAAATAAATCACAATTACTTATTGCTTAGTATTTTGGATAATAAATTCTTTAGTTTATCAGTACCTCAGGGCCTTCAAATGTGCATTCTTCAAATAGTTTCAATTACATATACATTCTTTCTCCTGAACAATAAATTATTCTTAAAAAAAAAAAGAAAAAAGAAAAGATACATAATTTTAAAGCAAAGGAAAACAAAAAAAACCCCATATATTTTTGACATTTATCTTAAACTTATATGAAAACAACTCTATGTTAGATGCTTAAATATAAATAATAAAGGACAATATGTTATTTACAATGTTACACAGTAAGTTGAGAGAGTAAAAAACTGACATTAACTCATAAAGACAGTAAATGATTTAGGAAAACATCCAAGTAACGTACAATGTGTATTTACAAAAGAATATATAATAGAACTCGTGATATGTGGCCATTTCCTTTCGCCTGCACTTGTCTGCAGTGTTTCACGGGTCTTTGCAGATAGAAATCTCTGTGGGTTGGTGGAATGGAGCCAGTACTAAAAGATAAAACCAGGCCTTCCTTATTTTCACCAATGTGAGCCATGCACCTTTTAACTCAGGCCAAAAAAAGGAATAATTATGAGCAAGTTACCCTGGATAAACTCCACCTATATCAAGACAGTCACACTTAAACAAGGAGGATACGGTCTGCGGTGTTTGGGACACATTTCACATATACTCAGGCAGAGTGCCATTTTGTAGAAAGCATGAGGCTGTCCAGGCACTCCTGAAAAAAAAAAACAAACAAAAAAAGGCATACCAGGCAAGAAGGGGGAGTAGGACAGAAAGGGAATCTGGATTGAGAAAAAGAAGTTCTGCCTACCCCTCGGTGGGGTATGATTTCAGACCCAGGAAACTTCTGGGCAACTTCCACTCCCTGGGAACCCCTCTGAAGCTTGCCACATGCTGGGAGCACGGGTTCCCGCCCCTCCGCGGGATTGCCACTACACCGCCTGGGTTTATAGACAGGGCTGGTTGAGAGCCATGTGCGGACTAAACATCACAGAGAGGTCCATTTGAACACAAAGCTGGTGGTGGCAGCAGGTAGCCCTGAGGAGACAGCTGGCCTTTCTTACCAGGGGAAACTCGTTCTCCAGAAGGAAAGGCTGTCCCAGAGAATATGCCACCTCTCTGAGTGACCAGAATCAAGCTGGAAATAAAATTTCCTCTTGTCCTAAATGTTCCTGTATATTTGCGACCTGAAAATGTAGATAGCAATTTTCATACTGAGGAAAATGTTGGTTTCAGAAGATTTCATTTATTCTGGAAATTCTCCACAATGGGGCATTTGAATACTCCAATGCCCAAAGATTTTTGCAGCAGAAATTTTAGACTTTTCATTAATGGTAGAAATTTCTTTATTGACATAGTCTCTGAATGACCCAAGGCCTTCAAAGGCAATATTAATTTAATAATTTAAAGGACCTCTTTGGGTGGGCTGCCCTCTTCCCCCTGCCACGAGCTTACTCATTTCTACAGAAGTGGGAAATCGGAATAACTTGGGCAACCCGAAAGCAGCACAGAGAAAGTGGCATGTGAGTAATGAAGGACAGTTCAGGATACCAAATACTAAGAGTAACTTCAAGGACCTGCAGACAGACATCTCTGTGGGTTGTAGAAACATGAAAGTTGCTTAATGACATGCCTCGCGTCCAGCCCGCATTTTCCCACGAACTCCTTGCACGTCCCTTCTTCCCGAGAATTTTAACATAGACATTTGATGAAGAACTAAACCCAGTTCACCTGCAAACAAGCAGCAGCTGCTCTTGTTGACTTCACGCCTGGTATTTGGAACCCCCTGCTGACCCGTTTCCTGTTTTGTCCCATGGATCCCAGGAGGTCACCAGGAATCTAAGTAAAGCTCTAGCCTGATTTGACAGATATCAGGCAGGGCATGAAATAGGGCCTGCATTTTTTTTTTTTAAATCTCCTTATTTTCCTGAATTAGCGTTTGTTCCACATATTAACACCCATAGGCCTTCCTTGGACTTACAATCACAGAGAACATGCAAAGTTTAGACCCATCTTCCATCCTGTTTTGTGACAGTAAAGCAAAAGGTAAGAAAGGGGAGGACATGGATGATACAGGCTGCAGATCGAGAGGTCAGGACAGAGGTGGGGGGTCACTTCTGCAAGTAAAGGTGCAATCTTTCCAACACTGTCAACGTTCCCTGATGAATCGACACTCTTGGAAGGCTCTTGCTATTCACAGATCACATGCACGTTGGCCATTCCTGACAAAAATGTTCGTGCATAGTTACGACCTGATCGAGGCAACATGGAAAAACAAGAGGAAAGTCATGAGGAGAAAGGCGTGGTCAACAGAACTGTTTAAAACTGCGACCAAGTCACACGGCTCTTCTCCATCTGTGCCTTCCAGACACTCACTCCTTCTAGATACTCTACAACAGAACTATTTCCCTATGATAACTAGTCACCACCGCATATGGCAGGCATATTTCACTGCAGAAGTATTTCAGATTGCTGAGTGTGCCGTTTAAGCTGGTCATTTTGTGCCTAACATGTCTGTTCTTGAGCTGATAAGACACAACCAATGGCTAGCCCCCCAATCAGTGAAAAACACAAGTCAAGAACGATTGCACCTTTTTCAGCCACGGTTTGATTTTCAACTAGATGACCTGCTGTATCATTCCCCCAGAAAGTGAGGTGGAGTCCTCTTAGAAGACGATGGATTTACCCCGACAGCAAGCCAGAACCCATTTACGATGCTATCCACCCAACTGTTGCTCTTTTTCAAGAAAAATAAACCCCAATAAAGCAAATGGTAGCTCTTTTTCGTGAGAGCAAGCTGTCTTCTGATTAAGAATATAGTTTTTTAAAAAAATCACAATACTACTTTCTTCCTAATATTTAACATTACTTAATGCAGTTTCCTGCTGTAATTAATAGTAGCATGCTGTTGGATCTACTATTATCTCAGAGCCCAGTGAAGCAAACCTTTGGCTGGCAGAGTAGACACAACTCATTTCATATACTGAAAGCAAAAGAAAACTTCGTACAAAAGAGAAGAGTATTTGGATGGATGTGCCATTACAAGACGTACTGATCGGGCGCTACTAGAAATAGCAAACAGAGGGACAGTTGCAAGTCTTGCAAATCATACATCCTGTCAACATCATAATGCAATGCACAAGAAGCCAGCGAAAACTGAATATATGGGAGGTTTTGCTGAAATACTGTGGAAAAGCAATCACAGTAACTGTACAAAACTCGCTCTCAACATAACAGAACATAAAGGCACCATTGATATCTTTCTTGTTTTGAAATACTGTAAAAAATTGCTACATATGGCACATAACACATTTGTACATACATATATTTAATTTATAAAAGTTTTTTTTTCCTGTTTTCTATTTGCAGAACTGCTAAAATAAAATAAATTGTTTAATTTAAGGTGGAATACTTTATTATATAAAATAAAGTTTTACAGGTGAATCTATGTGTTTATTTAGGTTTTATACAGCGATAGGGTCTTGGTTAGCGATTACACTAGACAGCCTGGCCTGCAATTCCTCCTGCGTCGAGAAGCGGCCTGCTGGGTTAGTCCTGCTGTCCGCCAGGCGGAAGGCAGGTACTGCCTCAAGACTGGCTGCCAGGGGGTTCTGAATGCCCAGAAAGGGAGTATCTTCCCCTACCCTCTCATCTTCTGTTTCACTCTCTGAGTGAGTGCCCTCAGCGCTTGCGTTGCTGTCCATTTCCAACCTGTTAGCAATGTGGCCATTGAGCTTGGTTCTTTTGGCCCGCCGGCTACTGGTGAGTTTCTTAACAGGCTCTTGAGCTGGCTCGTACTCCTGGGTGGTTTCATACTCCTCATCTTCCACTATCCTCAAGGGGCTAGGGGGCAGGCTGTTGTTCCCATGTGAAGGGTTGTGGTGGTAGGAGTTGAACTGCTGAGGGTGGGGGTCATACTTCTCCCGAAGCCGTGGTGCTGTCACAAGCAGCAGAGGTCTCTCTTCTTCCACGAAGGGGCTGACTGCCATGATGGGCAGGGACACCGCCGTGCTGGACGCAGGTGGAGACATTTCCGAAGGGGGCGATTTGGGGGAGCTTGGCGTGTGGAAATCTACAGGTGACATGCGAGCCGGGGTGGTCATTGCTGACACATACCTGTGTGAGCACAGAATACCCCCCCATGAGTGTGGTGGAAGAAGAGGCAGAGGCAGGGAGGGTAAGGGGACAGAAGTCACGATATTACAGAATCAGAAAACAAAGAATTTCTATGCGTTGTACACTTCTCGATTTTTAACACTAAGGACGTTCGGCACCCTTGGAATCTGAAATTATGTAGCCAAGAGTTTCCTCACGGGAGTACATGCATAGATCAGCTAGGTGGCCTAACTCAACCAAGCTTTGGGGATTTTCAATCTCATGGTGATTTTAAATAAAAGCATGTGAGTCAGGACAAGAGGGCACTAGGTCCCGGAAACTTCAGTTTACAAGGACCAAGGCGCAGGGATTTGCAAGGGAAAGAAGTATTACTTAAATACTATACCTTCCTAAAGGCCAAGGGGTCTTAGAGAATGAAGCCCAAATGGGGAATGGAAGAAGATCTAAGATGAGTTGCTGAGAGCTGGATCTGCATGCATTTGGATCTGTGTGCCTTGTTTCTCCTTAGCTCAGCTATAAGGTTATGTCTTATGAAAAAAAAAAAAGCATAGTAACTTAGATTTATTCCTGATAACAGTGTAACACATTTGTGTGCTTTCAGTTTTTCCATGAAATGTTACTTCTTAACATTCAATTTGCAACTCTCCATCCCAGTGACCAAGACATTCAGAAAAAAGCCTGAGAAAACCTTATGTTGGCTCCCGAGGTATGTCCAAGCTCTGGTCTACCTCTCTTCAAAACCCATGGCTGCATCAATCTTTCGCTTATCTTTTTTTTTTTTTTTTTTTAAAGATTTTATTTATTCATTTGAAACACAGAGATACAGAGAGAGAGAGAGAAAGCATGAGCAGGGGAGAGAGGCAGGGGGAGAGGGAGAAGCAGGCTCCTCGCCGAGCCAGGAGCCTGATGTGGGGCTCGATCCCAGGACCCTGGGATCATGACCTGAGCTGAAGGCAGTGGCTTAACCAACTGAGCCACCCAGGTGCCCCTCTTTCACTTATCTTTTGTGACTGCTCAAGGGTTGGCTGCACCCTGGTACCTCATGACCTGTTATATCCAGTAGTGCTCAGTAAATCTCATTGCCAAGACATTGAGTGCATTTTTTTTTTAAACCATATCATGCTTTCTTCTTCTAGAACAAGAAGGCCTGACTTAGCACTGAGGAAGATGTGGCTTATTCAGAGTCACATTTCTCAACTTTGATAAAAATGTTGCCAGTGCATAGCACCAAAGCTCTCTTTTCTTCATGTTGGCGTTCACAGAGTCTAATTTAACATGACCTGTGATGACACAGGACACCGTTATCTGAACTCTAGCTAACAAGAACAGGAAACCTATTAACTTTCCTGCTCTTCAGCCATGATTCAGAGTCATATGGATGTGAGGTCTAGCTGTGTCTAAAACAGGAAGGTGTTTAGAGATGGAAATACTTGGGGCTTGAGGCTTCAACTTTTGTTCTGGGGATACTTAAACTAAGCTCTCTGAGAAATGCTAATCTGGATTCAGCCAACACATAAAGGTGATTCATCTTTTCTCTCCATGTTCTCGAGGTTCAGGTATATTTCGAGGTCCTAGATAATATCTGCGGTGTGCGTGGAAGCCTACCACAGCAGAGAAATGTCAGCCTTTAGAGAGAAATATCACATGGAGTGATGAAGAAAGAATTTATCCCTAACCTCTTTCTCAGGTCTCAAAAAAGACTGGATTAAGACAGATAGAGTTTCTTAATACATAAAGATACAATTATGTGAATTTAAGACTAAGGTTTTAAACCACTTTGGGACCATGCCTACATTTTCACAGATGAATGACAGAGCAACCTCTCATTCCATAAAGCTCTGAAATACCATTTTGGAGTAAAGACCCTTGAAGAAGTGATTAGCAAGCTCTATAGGACCTACTGGCCCAGAACTAGTCATCCTTTGTTACAAGGACTTCCCAGCCAGTCCATGAGTGGAAAGAGTCTATCAGCATTATCTCCACCCACGTAACTAGGTATGGATTTGACATTATGTAAACCTTTCGGCAAGTGGTCAAAGATGACGCTGAGATGGTGATACAGTAAACAAATAGACAACACCCCTCTGGATTTGAAAACAAACAAGTAGCAGCTTACTGATAATGCCACAAAGGCTGGTTGGATATAACTCGCTCCCAATTTAAGTGAAAATGAATCAAGACAATCTATGAATTCAGTATTCCTATGAAGCATCTCTTACTTTCCTCTGTTCTTGATTTTACCTTGTCTGTAACCCTCCTCCCCCCCACCCCCAACCCAATCCAATATCCCCAGAAGAAAGCCAAAACATTCTGGAATAAAGCAATATCTGCTTTGAAAACCACCTGTGAAGACTGCGTCTGCAGCATACAAGAGATTTATTTATTCATCCCTTCTTCGAATTTCGTAAAAGGGACACTACAGGGTGGAATGCAAGCAGTTGTGTCCCACGAGACTCAGCAGTGACACAGCCTTTGATTTGATTTAACTGAGGCTGGAAGGTAAGAAAGAGTTAGCACACAAGACCACGAGACCAGCTCGACCGGAGTTTGGGTAGCTTGGCAAATTCGAATTATTAGAAGGGTCTTTACGGACTGCTGGTGCCATCTCTCTAAAGTTACAACTGAGGAAACAGAGATGCCAAGTGGGTGTGAGCCTAAGGTCAGAGCTGGGACCTCTGGGTTAGCTGCCCCTCCAACATCAAATCACTCCCGCTCCTTAAGAGTCTGTTGCCTGTCAGCCACTGGGGCCATGCGCGCAGCTCAGAAGAAACGAGTTCAGTCAAACAAAAAGATGACTTCATCAACTAGGGAACTGGAACAAGCAAGTACCGCCCCTTAGGCTCATTAGAGTAGATTTCCTTAGGTGAGGCCCCAGCTGCTCATGGGGATTCTCCTACTGGGGTGCTTTCTTCTCCGCAGTAGCTTTGCCCTTCGGTTTTACCTTTCACTATGAGGAGAGTCTCGGTAGGAGTCAGGGGTTTCTCTGGCATGCCTGAGGAAGCTGTTACATTCGCGAGGGCCTCCCAAGCCATTAAGTCGTCCTCTTGGGCCCCCAGCTGGGCTGCTGTGCCTACTGTTTTCTACTGATGACATCATGATTACAGAGTGACTTTCTGAAATGATGCTTTCAGTGTGCCCATTGCTCCAGCTGGAGGGGAAACGGGAGAGGCAAAGAGACATACATATGCATTTTTTAATGATACGCAAAAATGGAAAGGAAAGGAAGTGATCTGGTAACTATTTCAACTTACTGGTGTATCAGCAGTTGACGACAACATTACTTGTCTCAGAATAGAATTATTATTACTTGCTATAGAGGGGCTCTTGATTTTGTTTGGCTTTGTAAGGATACAGTTTATGCACCTGTTCACCCATTCAACACACATGTATCAAATGTCGGTATGTACTAAGTACTCTTGCAATCTCTCTGCTTAGGTCAAGGAGACACTTGGCCTATGAGCTACATTTGGCAGTCCTTGGTAGCATGCACTCACATGGGGATACCCGAGGCATGTGAGTTCAGCTATCGAACAAGTTCTCGTGTTCATTTCCAAGGGCAACCCAATCATTGGAAGGAGTCAACTTCTAAATATTCTATAGCATCTAGGACAGACTTTTTCCACTGTAGCAATTCAGTGAGTAGTCAGGCATGAGTAAAGACAATCTTTAAAATGGGGAACAACAATCCTGTGAGTGGGTATTATTTTCACCTTCAGTAATGAAAAAATGGAGGCTCAAGTTTAAATGGCCATTAAATGGCAGAGCCAGTTGATGTCCAAAGTCTGTTTCTGTCCCCAGTCATACATGTTGTTATATGTCCTTGCCTCGTAAGTGTCTCCTGTTCCTTTCTTAGGCAGTGAAAGCAAAAGACAATGTCTAGAAATTCTCTCTCAGAGTAGTGCCCTGCAATTGCTTTCATTCTCATACCTGTGGCTGGGAGTCTGGGTGACAGTAGTAGAGTGGTGAGCTGTTGAGGTATAGTGACTGGTGGAAAAAGATGTCTCCGCTTCTCTCTCAACAATATGCTCACTAGAGATGACATTTTTAGATACGTATTGCTGGATAAACAAAGAGACACAACTTGAAGATTCATATTAATCAAAACAGTAACATCATCACACACAAATTCTATTCTCATACATATCCTTCACAACCCACTCCATTTCTCCAATGGTCAGATGGCAAATCCTATCCTGGCTCTATGGCCTTTAAATTCAGTACATGAAATTAATGAATTATCCTTTGGATGCGCATGCAGTGTGGGTTCTGCAGTCTTAACTGCATATTATCAGAAACAGACCTAGTTCTTCTATCTTATTTCCAACTGATAATGTGAGTGGAATTCAAGACAAATCTCTGCCCCATATTCATTTTTTGTCATAGTTGTTGTAGGTGAAGAAGATTAACAGACAGCTGAATGAAACAAAAGCATAGAGATGGTTTGTCTTCTTTCAAATTTCAAGTCAGGAGACGGATTTTTTTTTTTTTTTTTAACAATCTCTATATTTTGGATCTACTTTTCTTTTTCAGTTTCCAAGAGCCCGCGTTGCCCTAACGATAGCACTGAAATTTTCAATTTGTTGTCAGTGGTAAGACTAACAAGGCCACTGAGAGGTTTGAAGGACTTACAGAAGCCGTCAAGGTCACACATCTTGACAAAGTACACAGTATACAGAGGGCCTATATATAGTGCAAGTAGATTCTACTTATTTTCATCACCAAATCGCACGAGCTCTTCCTGCCTTCAATCAGTGAAAGAGGCACATTTCAAAGTTGTGTTTGAAATGCTGTTAGTTTTATACCAAATTAAATTGAGTAATGGAAAAAGTCATGGAAAGGAATACTCTCAGATGAAATGGGCACTTTATAAGCAATGGGCTGTGGGCCTTAAAAGAGCCTGATGTATTTATGGAAACCCCCAAAATATACAACTTGAATTATGCTTGAAACTCTAGTTGGTTCTCTTAGTGGAAAGGCTAGTCCATGTGGCTCTTTCTGGGACGTGCAGTTTAGCTTGCTTTAAGGAAAAGATGGTGATGTCATGATTCATGAGCTCTTTCTAGTCTGTGTACCATCTCACTCTTGGTCCTTGAAAGGCAATGTAAGCTTGGTGAATCTAATGAAAATAATATCTAACAATTATTGACCACATACTGAATGTCACCGGGCTAAGGGTTTTGTATGGATTGTCTTGTTTAATGCTCATAGAACTTGTTGAAGTAGGTATTATTTTTAGGCCTGTTGTCATAATGAAGAAATAGGGTGTAGACAGATTAAATAAAGCCCAAAGTAACACAGCCTGAGAGATAATTGGAATGCAAGCAGCCATTCTGCTTCCTATATATTATAACAGACATAGTGACAGATTGTAGGTGTGTCTGTATGGAGTGAATGCATTTGTCAACTGTGTAGAACATTCTAATGAACACTGGTAGGGAGAGGGAGGCAGCAAAATAGGCTAATATATTAGCACCTTAATCTGTCTCTGGAAGGTCTTTGCTACAAGATTTGCTGGTGGCTGAGTAACCACCAACTCTGAACTTGGGTGTAGGATATCTTTGCTCCACACAAAATACATATTTTCCTACAGGATAGAAAAAAGTGGTACTACAATGTAACCTTCAAGCTTTGCCTATACAAAGCCAAACATCCGAGGGAAATGCAGAAAACAGGAAAAATTATGGTGGAATAAGAAGAGCAATACTCCAAATGCCAGGAAAGCTGAGTTCAGCTTTGGCCCTTATCTGTAAAAAGGGGAGGCTTGAAAGATCACATCTAAAGATTCTTCAGAATGTAATACTCTATGACCTAGTTATATTTAAAAGCTGAGTGCTTGGTAAATTTTAAACAGAATATTTGAGTGATTAAAGATATATTTAATCTGGATGGTTTGACACCATGTAGAAGGAGTCAGGGGATAAGAAAGCATTATGTTCTGCAGTTTTGCTACTGAGAAGGGAGTTTGATAAGTCATCTGGCCTTTGCATGCCCTAACTTCTTCCTTTGTACGTCAGAATCAGTAAATCATCAGGCCCTGGGAGATGCCTCTAATAAAAATCACTCTAAAGCCCTTAGCTCAGTTCTCAGTTAGAGACTGGAGGAGCCTTTGTTTCCAAATTATTAAGAAAAAAAAAATTCCTTCTGATTCTTGTATCATTAATTTTATTATTTTTCTGTGTTTTTCTTTTCTTTCTTCCAGTTAGGCCCTCCCTGTAGAACAAACCCAATATTATTATTCCATCCCCTTAACGAACACTTTACGAGAGGAAATGTGCTGGCCTTACAGTAACCAAATCCACTTAAAAAAAATGTTCCCATTATTTTGTCCTGGCAAAACCCCGGATTCCTGGAAGTCGTGGTGATTAATGGCAGTAGCTAAGAGCCTAAGAGCTTTAGAAAATAAACGTCAAGGTGCCTGAACAGAGGAGAGATGCTGAGCTTTTCCACTGGCCAGACTCAACATACATTCACCAGCTGGACGTTCTCGGGGGGCGGGTTGGGGTGGTGAGGCCCATTGGCTATGTTGACCATGTTGTTGCGTTCAGACCGCAGACTCTGCCGAAGCCGGTCATGAAGCTTTTTCCGTTGTTTCCTGGATATGAAAAGGGGAGCATTTATTTTTTTCTATCATTTACATTTCTTGGTACACTCAACTCTTGGTTCTACCAACACGTAAGTCAGGTAGGAGACTGGTGGAGGATATGCCACTCCATCTCGGATTCTGCCTACGGACAGAAGTGGAATCACACAATTTTAGTGAATATATTTAAGGAGCTGGGGCGGGGGGGGTGATTCTTACAGAAATCTAACTGGACTGCTGAGAGATAAGAAAAAAAAAGGAGAAGACAAGATAAATCAAGTTGCTATTTGGCTCAAACCCCAACTTTCGCAGTCAATCCATCTTTGCCTGAGTCTTACAGATGGTCATTTGTCTTGGGTACCAATTTGTGCCGTGCAATTGATAAGGCTGATTGCATTCATAATTTTGCCTGTGTGTCTCTTAAGAAGATGCGGTTAATTCTGAATCTGTACCTTCTACACGGTGGGTGTGCATGTATGGCATTGTATGTGAGTGCCGCTAGGTACATATTTTGCCCATAGATTTAGCACAGTTAGAACATGATCTTATTCTTACTAACACTTTTTTTGTAGAACTAGGCAATGGATATTGAAATACTGAGATTGAATCTAATAAGACTCATAAGGTAGATTTCAGTAAGACTTATTTCTATCACTTACTCAATTCTGGCAACTCATGAAATCCTGGGGTATTAAGAAAATGCCATCCATGCCCTTAATTTTATGTCTAAAAGCATATTGTCTTTGTTCCTCAATGCAACATTCAGGTCATGATAATATCCCCATGGCTGGTTTTGGCAAGAGAGTTTATGTGATGAAGCAACAAAATGAAACAAAACTGTTAACGTTACTTCCTACTTGAAGCAGAAGTTCTATGTAAGAGAGAAAAGTGAAGGGAAATCAGGTCACACAGTAACTGGGTTTGTTAATATGGACGCAGCATAACGGACCAGACATAGTGAACACAAATCTGCTTTAATGTTTTCTATTCTTCTTTCAAAGCAAGATTTGCTTGATTTTCCTCCCATGAGATTCTTTTTGTACCTCCCACACTTTGAGAGCATTTGAGTTGGTAAGCTCATTAGATGGAATGGGAAAATAATCGCAATAATGTTTTAAAAACCTTCATTCCCAACATCACCAAGTGTTTCCTTTATCTCCTAAGTCTGAGTGCAAAGTGGGATGTGTCCTCAGCATTGACATGACAGGTGCACCCTAGGCACCAATCCCTGTCCTCTCAGGATCATCCACATGCACCTGCATATGCCCCACAAGCCCATCCATCCAACTCTTTCCCGGGTCAGGGGCCATGGTCAATGACCAGAAGTCTTCTGAACACTTTCACAGAAATAGGCAAAGCTTTCTAGTTATGTGATTAGAGAAAGTCCTCGAAATAGATTGCTCAGAGGAAAAAATGAGAAGAAACACCCCCCACCTCCCCACTCCCCCTTTTCAAGCCTAGGCTGTGGAAAATGCTTTCCGCAAAGCCCTGGGCCAGCTGAGCTGTCTTCTCTGCGCTAAGGAACGAGAGGCATGGAGGAGGAAGGTTTACTTGGTTTTGCAGTAGGCCACCACACACATGATGCCGACCACAAGCAGGGCGATGCAGATGCCAGTGATGGTCAGCACTCTCTTCTGGTACAGCTCCTCCGCTTCTGGAAAGGGATGAGAGCAGATGTCACCAAAGCCCCCTTATACTCGCCAGGACTTAACAACTGAATAGTTGGCATGCGGCATGGCATTGTCCATGTTCACGAGAAAGTAAATACGTGACAATTCATTACTTTTGCAGACATACTTAAGGTACGGCATACTCTGCATTACACTTTGAGCATAAACAGCAAAGCCAGCTGGGGCCATTTGCAGTAAAAAAATTATACTATTAAATTACTCTACTTATAAGCTACAGATATATATGTATTAAACTGGCAAATCATAAACATTAATTATAAAATAATAACTTCGTTAAAACTGTAGTTTTTAATGAAAAAAGGAAATCTCTTGCAAAGGCAACAGGAATCAATGCCAATAAAAGGAGCTGGAATTGGAACCACTGGGGCCGTCCTCGGCCTCCTCTCTCCCTCCCTCCCCCCTCCCAAACCCCTTTTTATTATTCCCGTGGTCTTTACAAGGAGCCATTTCTAACTTAAAAAAATAAACTCAAAGACATTTGCAAACATGAGCTTGACTTGTAGTTAGCAACAGAATTGAGGCAGGATCCCTATGATTTAACAGTAAAATGTGAACATAAGCAACACAGCAGGGCACTGTATCAGAGAAAATCCAATATGGTGGGTAGGAGAGTCTGGGGCCAAGATGAACCCTTGTCCTTTGAGGGACAATTATTGTCACTTCACTGACTGTACTTAGAAACCGAATTGATCTGTATAAAGAAACCGCTAGCACCCAGGATATGTGACTTGGACTAGATTGTCCATCCCTGTAGTGATCAGCTTGGCCAATTAGCTCAAGGAGGTCGCATAACGGAGGGTGATGCTTAGAACTTTGCATTAATAGTACCACTGTACCTTAAATGCAGCCAGTCTCTTATTCATGGAAGTCTTTCTACTTGCAAATCAGTTTTGGGGAGGGATCACTTGATTATACTTTGGTAGGCCAGGTTCTTCACGAGATTGGCAGATTTAATGGCGAACTGATCCCTTAGGAACTGAGCTTCCAACCAGTCTAATTACATTTATTGGAAGACATTCACAAGTTCACCGAAGAAGAGAACTCAGACCGGGTGCATCATAAGCATTATAAGCCGGACTTGCCAAACTGATTAATAAGCTGGTCAAAAACTGGGCGATATCATACAAATGAAGGTCTCTTATCTGGACATCAACATGGGGCCGTAGGGAACATTTTCAATTTTCTTTACTGAGAGAGGGCGAGTCGCAGGAAGTTTTCTTGAAATGAAAAAGCGCATTTTAATTTCTGTGATACAGTAGACCTTATCATTAAACAAAACATTTCCTACAAGCCAAGCCCATGGTAATCAAATTCCAGTTAACAGATCAGGAACATTGTCAAATCAAATTAATATAGCACTGATTATTAACAGGAGGAGAATAGAAGTCTGGGTAAAAGACTAGAAGGCCGCAGAAATTATACAAAAACAAACCCAAAGGGTCGGAAGTGGGAGGGAAGAAAACAAACCCAGAGGACAGACAGACTGACAGAATGACGGAGAGAGGGAGGAAGTCAGGTAGGAGGGAAAAACAAGATTAAAAGTGAAGGAGCCATCTGAAGTCCCTGGCACAGCATGCCTGATACTAAGGGAGGAAAAAAATAAACAAACAAAAGAAAAGCGGAGGGAGGAAATGCTGGGTGGGAAGAGAGGGTGGATGCAAAGTTGGAAGGGTTATCCCATACAGCATAACTCCTACCCTAGGCTGGCGGTCACGTGGAAGCCACAATTAGGAAGCAAAGCAGCTGGTGCATTGCAGTAGAGTGGGGTCGGGTCACATATTTTCGTGCTGCAAAAGTCAGCTGAGGATGTGGAATGTGAACGCTTCTATGTTAATTGCTGTGTCCGCTGCCTCCCCCCACCCTAGAGCCCCAGGACAGGGAATTACATTTGACGAGGTGGTAATCTGTGAGCAGATTCACAAGTTCACCGAAGGAGAAGTACAGGAGCCTCCTCCTGGACCTGGCATGCGGATCAGTTTTTAGCAAAATGTCTAAGAAGGAGAGGCGGCGCCCCACTGGACCCTCCCCGTGGGGCCCGGGAAGCAGGGCTCCGCCGGGTGTGACTGCTTGGTTTAGAAACAGCTGCGAGAAATGGAACCTCTCTTGTCTTCCTTTGAAAGGGGGAGGGCTTGGTAGTGCTGGCGTCTTAACACGCTGTCTTTAGAAAGAGCTGCGAAGTTACTTCTGACAACTATGAAAATGGGTTGCATCTAAGGACTGAAGGGGGAAAGGGCGTCCCGGGTCCTCCCTGGGATTCCACGGACAAGTTTTTTTGGTGGTTGCTAATCATAAAAGAATAGATTGACCTCAGGTTGTCAGCAAATGTGGCATGCTGCCTCACTGTTCTGCCTATGTGATGGGGGAAGACACACATTTTTCCAGTGAAATTGGTCATGGAAATAAAAAGGCAAGCTCAGCAAAGGCCAAAGGGTAAAGCAAAGTGCTAAAATGAACCAATGAGAGACAAGGCCCACAGAATACAGACGGAGGATTAAGATTCTGTATTCACAACAGCATTCACCAAATACATTAAATGTTTCTCATCTTAGTTTCTATTTCCTTTCCCAATGATTTACTAGATCAGGGGACCTCCCCTCCCCCACATCATGAATGTGTTAAAAGAGAAGTACTTGATGAACAATCATATAAACAATGGGTTTTCACCCCCTGTTCCCCTTATTTTTTTCCCCTAGTGTGACAGGGTCAATAGGGCAAGAGCAAATTAGAGGCAGTGCTGAAAAAAAAAAAAAAAAAGAATCTGTCAGTCCAGTTGGCAGATCTGCCTTAATGAATGGAAATGCTTCCGAGTCCTTACTCTATGGTTTGGCTGGACGCATTGAAGTCAATCAGATCAAGCATGTTTTCCAGTCTGATCTGGTCAGGCTGAGAGACAGAAGCCTTGTCTTTCTCAATGTTAATTGACCTTTAAGGTCTGATTTTCCTTAAGGATGAACGTTCTGGCTCAGTACACCGGCTGTCCTGGGGCTGTGGAGTCTCTGGACCATTTGCCTTTAAGCGGTACGCAGACACCAGCATGATGTATCTTTACTGACCCTTCAGATCGTACTGAGGGAGAAGACCTATATCTGAACTATCCATTGCCCTACCTCATTGTCTGGGAAGAGAAATATTAAATTCTAGTTAGACCCGAAAGTGATAAAATGGGACAAAGATGCTATTAAGGAAAAGGAGGAGGTGATGGTAGATTTTTTTCCTCCCTGCAGGAAAGGCTGGTAAGCCTTTTCAGTAGTGAGACAATTTTTATTCTGAGGGAGGTCTCCTAAATAGATCCCTCTCGTCATGTAGATAACCCACCACCCGAGTGGCGCTGGTGGGAACTCTCGTGCTTCTCACTCTTGGGAGATGTTCTCTGCTGTGCACAGGGTCACTCACATATAAGTGGGGGTTTCCTCATCCAATGAATAGTTTCTCTTCAAAGTTTTCTGAGGGGGGGAGTGGGCAATCGATTGAGTTTCTATCGCTGTCCCGGACAGAACTTGCAACAGCCTTATTTTCCACGAATTATGGAAAGTAGATTAGGTAGGGACTGTGATGCTACCATCCAGGAGAGAGTAGCAGCTATGCTCCAGGGCGCTCTCACTGCGTGATGTCACCAACACCAGCTGGCTGGAGCTCAGCTCTTCTGTTAATCAGGACTTTGCTTTGTTGCCCCACAGCCGCGATCCAGCGCTGCAGGCAGTGCTCAGGGAGCCCCGGCACCTGCATCGTGGAGCCTCTGGGATGACCGAATGGCTTCCCTCTCCTCCCAAAAATTGGCCCTGGCTCCCAATGATTTAGGACAAAGGCCTTCAAAGGGAGTATGCCCCAAATTCATATGCTCATAAGAGATATTATCCTATGTTTACAGTGTGAACATTTCTATTTGATTACTTATCTGGATAATCTAAGTGACTCAAGGTTAATTCCATTAGTGCTAGAATTTCCACCTAAAATAGCACTGGGCGTATTTCTTTCTGTTTTCTATTTCCTTGCTCCAAAGATAATGAAGTTGACTAGAGGAGCGCTTGAATATCCCCAGAAAAATCACAGTCTGCACGTACAGTATTGTGTGGCATTGTAAGGCCTTTCCATGTTACTGTATCAAGTAGGTGATTCTTTACATTGTATGTCACATTCTCATCAGCCTAAGATGTGGGGTGTTTTTAAGCTGATGCACTTAGAGCTTCTTTTGTTCTCTCAGGCCTGGCTTGGTTCCTCCCATAGCCTTATGCACCTCTCCAACTTACCCCCGCTTTGAAATAACAGCATGGTCAGATCCAGTCAGAGGGTCAAGGAACGTGGGGTATATGTGACTTTGCAGCAGGTTGAGGTGATTTTTAAACTCTTAAGTGAAGTATGGAAATCTAGAAACTGCTGCACTCAGTGACATTTCAGTAAACTAATCATAGATTGGAAGCAGAGAAATCATTGTTATAGCTGTATGATCCCTTCTGAAGGAAAAGGAAATTAGTTAGGAACTGGAAGGTAAGAGTAGGAAGGGAAAAGATTTCAGCTCATAGGTTCTAAATTCTGCAGGCTAAAAGGAATGATGATTGGTCCATACCCATAAATTCAATCCCAAGATGCTCTGCCAATGCAGAAAGTTGACAAAAAAAAGAAAGAAAGGGAAAAAAGTTTCAGAAAAGAGCAATACACTGCACTCCAAAACACATTACACATGACTATTAACGGCTCTCTGTGCGTGCACATTGAACAGGACAAATGGCGGGTGGTTAAGGAAGCAGTGCTCAGGTACGCCTCCGTGAGTCCCATAGGGAACTTCTCTTTTTTAAGAGGTGTGCAAATACCAGCACACCCTCTCTTTATTAACCCTTAAAAGACCTTACTGAGGGAGAAGTTGTACTGCTGAACTATCCTCTACGCTACTTCATCATCTAGGAACGGAAATACCGTATTTATAATAATAAAAAAAAAGGCATTCGGTATTATCTCATTCCTCTCT